TAGGAAACTAAAATCTGTCTAGTGGCAGAGGGAAAACATCCAGGAAGGAGGGGGGTAGAATATATGTGAAATAAAAAGAGAGAAGGGAGTACTTGGGCAGGAGTGTTGAAGAAGGCAGTGAAATGACTGAGGAGGGGGTGAGGAAGGTCAGGGCAAGGCTTAACTAAAGTTACACATTCATGAGGAAGCTACATCCAAAACTTGCAACTCCAATAACATAAATAATCATAAAAATATAACAGACAATATGAACAAAGTGGGGAAAATAGTGGGAGCTAAAGACTCACATAGGAATGGGGCCAGGGCTATGGGGGTATGACAACCAAAACCAAGAGTGTACTAGGAAGCCTTATGAAACTCTAGTAGTTTGTAAGAAGTACCTCATGCTAGTAAAGAATGTTGCTCCCAGAATACATGGATTATTAAATACAGGTCTCAAAGTAAGCACAGATGACCTCCCTATGAGCTGTTGCCATTGTTTTTCATAGCTCACCATAACTACATGGTAAGACTTCATTTGTTAAGACACCACACACTTTGGTTTCAGGATACAGAGCAATCAATCTTGAACTGACAGGAAATTCTTCTAGGTGATTTGTTTTACTCAGCTAGAAGGTGCTAGGCAAGTCAGTGAGGAATAGAAAATATCAATAATCTTATACAGCACTGGATCCCACATGCTACAATACCAACCTGGAAAACAAGATGTGTAGATGGATTTCTAAACAGTCTTATTAAATAAAAGAGCCAAATATAGGGGTGAAAGCCTTAGAGAGATCAGGGAAATAGGGAAAGCCACCAGACAACTTTATCTCACCAACTCTGCAGCATCCAAATGCGAGTTACTTCCTGTCTACCCACCTCTATATGCCTTGTTCTTCTGCCATCTAATTTGCTCTCTCCATTCAGATACATCACTTCCTCTTCCTACACAGATCTGTCACTTCCTGTCTGCACAGACCTCCTCCAGACCTCCATAGTTAATTAGTTTTGGAATTTAAGGTGTGTGCCATCACACCTGGCTCTGTTTCCAGTGTGGCCTGGAACACACAGAGATCCTGCTGCCAAGTGATAGGATTAAAGGCATGTGCTAACATTACATGATTTCTGTGTTGTGGCTGCCTTTTTCCTCTGATCTCCAGGCAAGCTTTATTTATTAAAGCACAAATAAAATATCACCATATTTCAGCACAAATAAAATATCACCAGAAAGAGGTACCACTGATGTAAAAGAAGCAAGACTATTTATAGACTTAAGGTCTGTTCCACAAAATGGAATTCACGTGGTACTGAAAATACCATCAAAGACAATAGCTATGGAAGTCAGAAGGCCCTAGCCCATTGATGTTGTTTCTCCAGATGGTGATGGTCTCACATTGCCTCCTAAATATTTATGTTTACATTGCTTTATTTCTATTGGTACCAACTTGGCCAGATGAGCTTCTTATTTTCTGTAGGCAGTGGCTAAGGCAGAAACACATTACTGTCCAAAGTGCTGAGAATATGCAACTGTGAGTGCTCATCCATAGACAGAGGCATCATCTATACCAACACCTCCACCAAAGCTCAGGGAATATCCACAAAGTGAAGGCAGAAAGAATGTAACTCCAACTGGATGGAGAGGACTGCTATGAAATGCCGTCCTCTGAACATGACATGGCTGCTTGCACACTTGAATTCAAAGCACAAGGGCAATCACATAAAAGTTCCAGAATAGAGTGACAGAGGTTCTGGAGGTCCTAGGCTCTGCTGAGGATCTACTGACTGTTGATGCTGTTGGGGATGGGAGACTCAACTTTCTTTAGGAATGGGACCACTGGCAGGTTACCCAGTCCCCAGTGGTTGATCTTACACTCATCTGTATATGTGCAGAACTAATGGAACTCCTCAGGTCAAAACAAACAAAAACAAGCAATTTTTAAAAGGAAGTCTCTGTTGACAAATTCAACCCTTTGTATCTGGAAATGTCTTTAGTTTTGAAGGATTACTTCTCTGTAGGTGGAATTCCAGGATAATAATTTTCTTTGAGCACAGGAAAAATGTTGCTCATTTCCATTCTCTTTTGACTTGCATGGTTTCTGAAAAATCAAGATGGTTCTTATTTTCATTCCCCTGGATATAATGATATCACGTGACTTTTATCTCCAGCCAGTTGAGATTTCCTCTTTCCATCTGTTTTTTTTTTTTTTTTGTTTTGTTTTTGTTTTTGTTTTTTTGTTTTTTGTTTTCAGCAATTTGATTATATGGTGTGGTAGAGCTTTGGGAGACAACAAAAGTCTGAAAATAGTCTTCATTCAAGACAAAGAGAATCGTGAAATTGGAGATGCTGTGATATCCAGCACAAATGGAGTCAATGCGGAAAAACAGAAGGGGAGAGAAACATTCAAATATTCCAGTAAGGAAAGCATGACAATACACAGACCACATTGAGACCACTACTTTTTAAAGAAGAAAAGTTAATAAGACTTTTCTTCCCCAAAATACCTTTCATTGTTCTTTTAAATGATAATGATGGAAAGGAGCTTCACTGTTCACTGGTCTTTAACAAAATCCCTTGTGTGTTGCTGATAACAAAATCAAGGCTAACATTGCACAAGCCACTGGCTGGACACAGGTAGCTGAACCTCAATTCTTAATTTTCAACTCCCTGATGATGCAACTTCAAATCTTGAGTCATTTAAGTCAGCATTTCTGTTTCTCAACCCCAGAATACCAACTGTACAATGAATACTATTTTTCTTTAAATCAACTTGAAAGCTGCTCACTCACAAATTTTAATCTTGTGATGAGTAAGACCTAGAATAGACCTAAAATAATATTTCAATATTGGAAATCTGTTTTCTAATTCACTGTAAAATGCTAGGGTAACTCCTGAAGAAAAAAGGTTTGAAACCACATCTAAGCTCTATGAAACCACAAGGAGTCCTTGTCCTGTCAAACCACAGCAATCTGCCTCTTGCCTGGGATGCTCAAGAAGAAATCGTGTTTCCTTTCCCCCTGAAGTTGGAGAGAACATTTTATCTCCTATTGTCTTTCCTTTTAGCAGCCCTAATTGCCAACATGGGATGTGGTTTCTAGGCAGAGTCTTCTATGCATCCACAACTTCTAAAAAATAATTTAATTTAATTTAATTTAATTTTTGTAATTAGAACCTAGTTGGAACATTTTCCACTTTCCTCTCTTCCATCCAAACCCTCCCATGTGCCCCTCTTTCAAAGTCATGGTCTCTTTTGTCGATTGTTATCACATGTATATATGTATTTGTGTATGTGTGTGTATACACACATATATATTCTTGTATATAACCTGTTGAGTCTGTATAATGTTACTTATATGTGTTTATAATTTCAGGAGTGATTGTTTGGCACTGAAGAACTTATTGATGTGCTCTTTACCAGGGCAGGACCTCCTCTCCCATTCCCAGCTTTACCTTGTTGTCTATAGTTCTTTGTATAGGGTTGTTGGTCTCCTGGGTTTTTCTCCATTGAGCTTGGCTTTTTTGAGCACCAACTTCCATCACTTTCCCTCACTCATTACTAGTAATTAACCCCAGAGCCTTGTGACTGTTAGGAAGCACTTTACTACTAAGCTATAACCTCAGCCCCTGTTCCACTTTTTTGAACATCATTTTCTTTTGGCTTTTTTTTCTGAATAAATTCAATGTTTATCTGGCAAATTCCTACATTTTTTAGGTAAAATGTATACAATAATAGCCACCAAAAGATGAAAGCAAAAATCATTTATGTATTTCTAATCTATGTGTTTAATTTAAATTATAAGGACTTTAAAATTTTTGAGGAATAAATTCTAATGTTCTGTAACTCTAGTATAACCATGCTTAAAGATTAACTATGCATTTTAAAATAGCTAGAACAGAGGATTTTGAGAGTTCTCAACATACAAATGATAAACATTTGAAATGAAGGAAATGTCAGTCATCCTGATTCAATCATTATACATTGTGTGCATATGTCAAAACATTACATTGTACCTGTCTTAGTTAGGGTTTCTATTGCTGCAATGTAACAGCATGACCAAAAATCAAGTTGGGGAGAAAAGGGATTATTTGGCTCATACTTCCATATTGCTCTTCATTATTGAAGGAAGTCAGGGCAGGAACTCAAGCAGGGCAGGATCCTGGAAGCGGGAGCTGAAGCATTGCAGAAGCTATGGAGGGGTGTTGCTTCCCCTGGCTTGCTCCGCCTGATTTCTTATAGAACCTAGGACCAGCAATCCAAGGATGGCACCACCAACCATGGGCTGGGCCCTCCCCTGTTGATTACAATTTGAGAAAATGCCTTACAACTGGATCTCATGGAGGCATTTCATCAACTGAAGCCCCCTTCCTCTCTGAAGACTCTAGCTTGTGTCAAGTACAGTACTCCATATACAGGTGATTGTTTTGCATTAATTGGAAATAAAAAGCATAGAAAAATTGTACCAAATAGAAATTTGTGACAATGTGAAACAAGAAACATAAAAACCTATTTCTGTACAGTAGAGCAAATTACATAAAACTTTTATATAACACAGTAATCCAAGTGTAGTGACACACACCTATGATTCTAGCTCTTTGGAGGTGGAAGCAGAAGAGTCAAGATTTTAAGGCTAGTCTCGAATACTTAGGGACTCAGGATAGCCTGAGCTACATTAGACCCTGTTTGAGAACAAAAACAACAATAACAAAAAATAATGAGTACATATAGATTGCTTTATTCAATATATTATTGGATGGATTATTTTCTTTGTTGTTCATAACAGGGTCTCTTGTAGCACAGGCTGGCTTCCAACTCTCTGTGATGCTCCTGCCTTTACCTCCCTTTTGCAGGGGTTACATGTATGTACCACTAGGCCTGGTGATTTGGAAATATTTTTATCATTGTCATTATTCTAATTCAGAGCTAAATAATTTTAATTGTATTGCTTATTTTAATAATACTTATTGTCTTTTAGACACTGATGTGCATTTTAGATCTTCAAATAAGACAAAGAAGACTCACCAGTAACCTCTCCCCCAAGACAAGGCATCCATTTCTTGAAACTTCTCGTCATCATCTATTACTTGTTGCTCTTTTCAGCTTCATCTCCAGGATTCTGAACAGCAGCCTCTTTTCTCTCTTTCATATTTAGTATTATGTTTTGAAGCCTAGTTGAAATAAAATTTAACCTTTAACCTTTCAGACAAAACTTTGCACTTCAGCAGGTAATAGAAAGACTTTACAAAGAAACTGAGTAGAGCTAATTTGTCTTGTTTAAAAAAAAAGTGACCACTGGGTCTGATTGGTTTACTCTCAGTTGCTGACTTGCAGACTGTTTTCAGGGAGAGGACCATATTTCAGCATCTTTGTTCACGTTCACCCCATAAGAACCTCCACAAAGTGATGTCTGAAACAAAAAAGAAAGAGAAATCTCTCCTCCTGCACAGCTGGTACTTGTCTTCTGAGTTCTGTTTCTACCTTTCTAAGAACTGACTATCCTCAAACAATTAAAGGTAGAAATTTACAGTTCATAGTCTTTGATGCTCAGCCGGAGGATCTTGGCAATTGCACTGTAATACGAACAACGTTCATATGCCTAGCATCAGGTAGTTCATATACCTATCCTCATACATATGAAGCTCCTATGGTTTCAGGTCATTCTACACCATGATGAGATGAAGAGTTAAACTAAAATCTGTTTCCACAGCTGGTATTATGGGCTTTTTCTACAAGTGGAAACTAAGAGATTTTTCACTTGATGAGATCTAATGTGGGTGTGGTGCTGGTGAGCACCTTTGGGTGTGATAGCAACACACTTGATTCCCTCTAAAATACTTTGAACTAAGAATCAGTGGTCTCTGGAGAAGCCCAGAGGAAGATCAAGGGCATGCTCCCAGAGAATTACTCCCTTTTCAGGATAGGAACCGTTTTCTTTCATTCAAGATGGTGACTGACTGATTTTTCACCTGAAGTGCATCCTAATTTCATATGTTGTGTTTTTGTTTGTTTGTTTTTAGTCTGAGCAGAATCATGTTCTTTCCAAAGACCAAGGAAAGAGCTGAAGAAGAAATCAACTGCACAGAACAGGGACCATGGCATGATGGTCACTTTACCATATTTGGGAATCTGTAGCTCTTGTGGATCCCCATTTTGGCCACTAGATAAGATGCTGGAAAATTACTGAACCTACTTCATTTACTGAACAAGACCCACCCAGAGCCTTCACATTGGTGTGTCTGTCATTAGTTGGTTCTCCAAATTAGCACCCCCAGCTCTGCTCAAAATTATTTCCTCCATACTTGTTTGTATTTATTTCTCTCTCTTCTCCTTTACTTCTTTCTTTCTTTTTTTGGGAGTGGGTAATAAAAATTGAACTTAGTGCCCCTGTTCACACTGGATAACCACTATACACTGAGCTCAACTCCAAGTTTTCATTTTCCTGCCTGAATTATTTTTGATGCATGTGTTGTTGATAGGTGTGTGTGTGTGTGTGTGTGTGTGTGTGTGTGTGTGTGTTGGAGTGGGGGTGCATGCATGTGTGTGTGTGCCTCTGTGTATGGGTATCTGTGTGTACATGTTTATGTGTGTGCCTACGTGGGTGGATGTGCATGTGTGTTGAATGCATGTACATGAGCTATTACAGAGGCTGGTGCATCTCATTCAGTGGCCAGAGTAGGATGTCTGGAGTCCTGCACTGTTGCATCCTTCCTTACTACCAGTCTCTCATCAAAACAGAAGCTTATGGGTTTCAGCTACATTGTCTGGCCAGCCAGTTCTTAGTATTCCCTTGACTTCAGTCCCTGGCTGGGGTTGCTGGGGTGACAGGCACTCACACCATGTCTATTTAATTTTTTGTTTGTTCTTTGTTTTTATAAGGGTGCTGGAAATTTGAACTCAGATCTTCAGATCTTCATGCTTTAGGAAGATGTTGTTACTTACTGAGCCACCTCCCTGAACCTCTAGGCTCTCACTAAGCTGCCAGACTAGACTTGAGACTTATGTGCCTCAAACAGGACTCCCACTCATGATCCTCTTGCCTCCCCAAAGTTGAGATTAGCACATTGTGCCAGCAGACCCAAATTTTTTTCAAATGGCATTTAACATCCGTTTTCCCAAAGTGTGGATGTCTGTATCTCATGATGAGTGAGAGATACTCATTAACCTAAATTAATTTACTTCTGCATTTTGTTGATGTTTCCTAGATGAAATTATGATAAAATACATCATTCTAGGGTATTTCTAGGCATTGTTACTGAGTGAATAGTTTTTGTTTCTAGTAATATACTGCTAGGTGGCAAAAAAATAATTATCATGACATCGAGAGTATAATGGTGTTTGACAGACAGTCTCAATTTGTACTACATTTATAGGAAACACTAGTTTATTAAAACATATGGTGAGTTTCTTTGTAGAAAAGTTTGAAGAAAAACTATGATATATATATAATACATATGTCATATGTAATAATATATTATTTATCTTATATAGATCACAGCTGAACTTTACATCTTTTTTCTGCATCATTGATACTTTTTTCTTTTTTCTTTTTTATGGTTTTTCGAGACAAGCTTTCTCTGAGTAGCTTTGTGCCTTTCCTGGATCTCGCTCTGTAGACCAGGCTGGCCTTGAACTCACAAGGATCCGCCTGTCTCTGCCTTCTGAGTGCTGGGATTAAAGGTGTGCACCACCACCACCCGACGATACTTTTCTGTAGATGTCAGTTTGTTGTTTCCCACATGGTTCTATATCAGAGCATTTAAGGCAGAAGAATCCAAAGTGCTGTTCACTGAATGCTGCTCCTACTTCCAAAGGCTTCTATTTCTGCTTTTTGTTTGTCAGAGCCTTGTTACACACATTAGCTTTTCTAGGCTATAGTTATTTTACCTATCGAACAGGCATGATAGCTACATGAGTAAGGAAAGAAGGCAGAACAGAAGTGGTCAGGGCACTTACACTAATGCTCCTTCTAACCTGGCAAACCATCAGAGTTAGTTACTATAATATTACATCTCATTTCACAAAGATATAAATTATAAATCCACTATCAAGGCATTACACACACACACACACACACACACACACACACCACAGGAAAATTTTAAGAACCATTTTGTTCTCAACTGTCACCCTCTGATTGTAAAAACAAAACTTAGTAAAATAATATTAAAGTGACTTGAAACACATTTTCTTTTTGTAGATGAGGTCATTTTGCCTGCAGCCTAAAAAAGAAGAGGTTATTCTGGCTCCAGAGGACACTGGTCCTCATGGCGGGAAAGGCAGGGTGACAGGAACATGAAGCAGTTGGTCATATTGCAATTTCAGTCAGACAGCAGAAAATGCTGGTACCCAGCTTATTTTTTTTCCTCTTCATTCAGACAAGCCCAGCTATGGATGGTGTGACCCACAGTGATGGTGGGTTGTCCTATCTTTGTTATCAAAAATCTAGAAACTTCCTCACAAATAGTGTCCCAGAGATTTGTCTCCTGGGTGATTCTAGATGCTGTCAAAATGACAGTCAATACTAACTACTGAAAATCATGTAATCTTAAAATAAATAACAATTAAATAAAAGGAAAACAAATGGACAAAGTATATTAGCTCTCAGCAGCCAGATGAAAAAAAAAGATATTTGATATTACTTCTGTTTAATCCTTAATTAAATTAACTAACTAACCAGTTAACACTAAATCATGTACGCTTATTCTCCCTGAAGCTATGACCCAAAGGCTTTAGCATAGCACAAATAAATGTATTCCTTGAATCATCTTTGAAAATTTGACCTAGTAATGTGGCATCTGTCAAATAATAGGGGTCAAGCTTAGAGTGTCAGTACACATCTTAAGAATACTCATACTAGGCGGTGGTGGTGCACGCCTTTAACCCCAACATTCAGGAGGCAGAGGCAGGCAGATCTCTGTGAGTTCAAGGCCAGCCTGGGCTACAGAGTGAGTTCTAGGAAAGGCACAAAGTTACACAGAGAAACCTTGTCTCGAAAAACCAAAACCAACCAACCAAACAAAAAAGAGTACTCACTGTGTTTTCCTGTTTGTTTCTTCAGCTGTCTACCACTACCTCCACAGTAAACCCTGTTGCATCATAAGTGCAGTTGATTGTAAGTCCCTCCGTTAGTTTATGCATGCCTACTAGGAGAAAAGCTCAAAATTAAGTGTTTCTATATTGTCCTCTTGGTACATAAAATGTTTATTGCATCCTTGTAAAATTTGATTTTTTATTTATAAAAAATAAAATAGTGGCTAGTATCACCAATGTGAATACACAAAGAAGAAAGCAATATATGAATATTATGAATATATATATATATATATATATATATATATATATATATGTTAAGTTTCTCCTAAAATGTCTTTACAACATCTGTTTTTGAAAATAATGTTTAGAGTCAAGACACTGAAATCCTTCATTTATCTCTTCATAGATCTTTTGCTGTGACCTCCATGTTAGAACTGAAACATGTCTTCAAAGACACTTCATTTTTTCCCCTAAAATTAGCGGTCGAACTATTGGTATTCTTCTATTAATCATTATGCAGATATTGGGGCTGTAAGGTTTAAGTCACAGTGTGGCCATTACAACAATTTTAAAACCTGTTCTAATTCCAGAGATCCCAACTTTAAAAAAGAAAAAGAACAAAAGAAAAAGCTATCTTAGGATAGATAGGAAGAAAGAAGAGTCTGCACAGCCCTTTGGTGTAGGAGCAGTCATTAACATTATGGTGTTTTATTGTCACATCACCTTCAAGTACCTGACTTTGGGCTTTGAAGACATCAGTAATCAAATCATCGAAGCTTTGTGAGTGTTTAACACATGCTAGACATATTTGCTCCATCTCCTTTTGTCTTTATGACCTCCATGAGGTAATTATTATTGTTTCAGATATGTTAACTGGAGTATTGTGAGGAGATATGCTGAGATGCCCAATAGTTATGAGCACTGGTTGCTCTTGCGGAGGACCTGGGTTCTTTTCCCAGAACTCATGTAGTGCCTCAACACCATCATTTCTTTCAGTTCCAAGGGACCCAATGCCTGCTTCTGGTGTGCACTGGCCCCAGTGATGCGCATGGTACACATACACACATGCAGAAAAAATATTCATATGCACAATATAATGATACATACTACATGATAATGTACATATACATACATAATATATTCCTAAATACATAAATATAACCTGATGAGAATATATAATGTTACTTGTATATATGTTTCAGGGCTGAGCATTTGGTATTGGATAGCCAATTTCTGTGTTCTTTCCTGAGGAAGACTATTTCTCCTGATCTCAGCATTCATCGGTTGTCTATTTTTAAAAATCTGCTTTGCCTCTTTAAGTTATTATGGAGATGGTACATGCTTACCATAAACTGAAAGTCACAGAGACTTTCTAAGCTGTAATGTGACTACACAATGTATGACATCAAAACTACCCAACACATCCCCTAGTAAGAAGAGTCGGGAAAAGTGTCCCTTTTTGTGTCTTCCTTGGCTGATTCCAGTTCTTGTTAATGTTAAGCAAGTGTCATTAAGAATAACAATTCTTCATGTGGATTAAGGATGGATGGCTTATACTTTAATTTAGTCACTAAATACTCTTTTAATGACTGATAGAAGTGAGACCTAAGGCAAAGGCAGTATCTTCCCTCATGAAACTATTTTATAGAACTTAGAACAGATAGCATAGCTATATATTATGGCCTGTAATGACAAGCACAATGGATAAGATACAATAGTAAGGTTAAAGGCTGTAGAGGCAGCCCTTCAGACCAGAAACATGGCAAAGGACTTCTGGTACATGTTCTGAAACCAGACATGAAAAGAACTGAGGATTAAACCCTGCACAGCTGTAGGACAAGAAGTAGGCCACTGTCTACTGCTACCGGAAGGTCCTGAGAAGTGAGTGTAGCCCAGCATGAGAACAAACACTAGGCAGTTTATAGTGAACTTCCAGTGAATTCACCCAGAACCCAACATTCTGGTAAATCTTATACCTTAATATGCAGCCTCTGCAGGGTGCTGGGGAGGCTCTCAGTAATCTACAAGGTTGACCCCACATTGGTCTGCTGGCAGTGGTCCAGAGGATGCCTGGACCTGTCTTACTCTAGTGACCAGCCTAGCAAATAACCTAGCTGTCATCATAGAGCCTTTGTCCAGTGACTCACAGAGGCAGATACGGAGATCATGGCCAGGCACTAGGCTGAGCTCTGGGAATCCAATTGATGAGAGAGAGCAGAGAAACTGCAGGTGAGGGACATTGAGATCATGATGGGAGGACATGCAGAGATGACTGGCCACACTAGAGGAAGCCCATGAACTGTGGACTGGTGACTGTGGAGCCCCCATGGGACTGAACTATACCCTCTGGATATGTAAGACAGTTGTTTGGCTTGAACTGTTTGGGGAGCACCCAGGCAGGGGTATCGGGATCTGTCCCTGTTCTATGGGCAGGCTTCTGGAACCCGGTGCCTGTGGTGTGACACTTTGCACAGCCTTGGTGCAGTAGGAAGGGGCTTGGACCTGCCTAGGCTCAGTGTGCTGGGCTCTGCTGACTCTCCATGGGAGACCTCGATTTGGGGGATGTGGAGATGCAGGGTGGCTTGGGAAAGAGGGCTGGGGGTGGAAGGAGGGAGGAGGAGGGATCTGTGGATAGTATGTGGAGTGAGTAAAAAATTTCTTAATAAAGAAAAATGAAAGAAAAAAATGCAGCCTCTAGTGTTTCGTTACAGAAGTGAAAAATAATATAAGGCAAAACCCAATGACTCTGGCTGTAATGCATATTCCACATGTTATAGCAGTAATGAAAGGAAGAGATAAGCATCTCATTGACCAGTCAACTCCCCTATTAATTTCTTCCAAACCTAGGTAGGGGAGAGCAATGCTATTTATCAGGGGAAGTTCAGAAAAATCAATCCACTTTAGATTTCTAAAATAATCATCCTAAGATGTAGTAGTGGTGCTCCCATCTTGGTGGTAGACAGCAGCATTTTAATTGAACTTATGGCTTACAAACAGGAGGGAAATCATCCCTGGATGTGGAAACCCAGTCCTAGGGCTAGTGATGTTATGGATCTTGGAAAAGAATCATTTCCTTCCACTTTACCAAGCCAGCCTAATTCCTAATTGCCTTTGAAAATGTATTCTTATACTCACAGATAAGTATGGCTCTCACTCCTCATCAAAGAACCTTCTCTGCTGCAAATGGAAACCATTACAGAAAACCACTGTCAGTCAAAATGCAGAGATCACCCCAAGTGATCATTGGATGCCCAGCTGCAACACATACATCTATAACACATCCCCTGCATCTAAGGGTCAGGGGACATTCTACAAGAGAGGGGGCAGAAAAGTGGTTAAGTACCAGGGGACCAAGAAAACTGCTGTGAGCTCGTGTCTCCTAGAAATGACATGGAAGCTACAGCCATGATACCACAACAATATGACTCACTAAGCAAGACCTGAGCAATGACAGCACCGCTAGATGCGCTAATAGGAAAAGGAGAAATTGTACACGGCCCCACCCCTCAATAAAGAACCACAGGCAGCTAAGGAATGCTGAGAGAAGGAGAATGAGTCTTCCCCTGAGATGAGCCACCTAATCCGTTATCTAACTCCAAGTGATCAGCCCTGAAACCACATATATACAAGCAACTTTAATGGACTCAGCAGGTTGTATTTATATATTTATGTGTTTACATATATTTATATGTGTAGTAATAATAATAAAAGAAAAATAGGCCATGAATTTGAGAGGATATGAGAAGGGTGCTTGGGGAGGGGATTGGTGGGAAAGAACATGGGAGGGATTGAATATAGGGAAGGAAAGTAGAAAACGATGTGTTTATACTTTAGTTAAAATTAAAAATATTAATCAAAACCCAGATGTTGTGTAAAATGCCAACAGTTTGAATTTTTGAGGAACAGGTATGTAATAGAGGAGAGGGTTCAAAATCAGAATTCTGTCCATTGTCTCCAACATTCTACCGTTAAGAGCCCTAACTTTTTACTTTAAGCAAGGTGTTCATCTCTGTTTGCCTGGTTCTGAGGGTCAGATGAACTTGCACTAATTAAAGTACTTTGTATAGAAAGAAGGGCACCTATGTTCAAGGTACTAGTTATTGAAAGAGAATCATGTTACAAAGTTTCATTATCATTATTGACTTAAATGTACTGATTAAATTACCTTGCTCCAGGCAGACACATAAAATATTGTGCACATATCTCTGGTGAAATTCAAACCCCATAAACTGATTCATTATAGAGAAGAAATTATTCCTGGTTTTGAATTCAGAAGAAATATTTCTCTTGAATTGTCTAAAAGGTGCCATTTCCTTTAATATGGATATGTATTTTCATCCATGCTTATAACGGTGTTTTTTGGGCTTTTTCCCATTTCTTCATTATGTGAATTCCTTCTGTGAAAAGCTGTTGATGAATACATTTGTCTCCGTTCTATTTCAGAAAGCATAAAGGTGACAATGGAGACCTCCTAGGAATTCAAACCCATTACTGCATTTTTACCATTTTAGCCCAGAAAGAAATTTACCTGGGTAATTCTTCCCTTTCTTAAAAGGACATGAGTTTTGAATCCGACTTCAGATGCTATCTTATGACTAACTAATTGTTGTATTAGACAGCTTACCTATTATTTCAAGCTTTTGTCTTACTACCTTTTAAGAACCTATAAGTGAACCAAATGAAAAACTTCAAACTTGGATGATAAATACCAGAAACCAAACATCTACATAATCCCTTTAGTGCTCAACACTGGATAGAGAATCAACTTGATAACAAAAACTGGTAAGAGTGAACTTTTAAATTGTTTTATGTACTTAGCAATCCTTAAATTTATAAGATTTATCATCAGTTTAAAGTTATATTTAACCAGATACCCCTAGGAAACACTAAGATGTCATTCAGCCATTTGGAACCTCGTTTTCTAGCTTTTAAAGGATGATAGAGTAATATTTTACTTTAATGTCTGCTATTTGGAGCACTGAGAAAAGCTCAGGAGAACCTACCCTGAGTAGATATCTGATGAGTCATTGATAGATAGAAAATTCAATCCATGTAGCTCAGTGGAGAGTGATGCCACAAATCTGAAAGCTTTGTATAGTTTTTATATATAGATGTTGCCAAATCCAAGGCCCAAAGATGATCTGAGGATAAAGGACTGCCAGGGAACCCTGCAGAGAAGGAAACAAAGGTGGGACAGAGCATTTCCTTGACTCAAATAAGACATCCAGTCTTCCAGTCAATCAAAGGGAAGAAAAACAGCCGAGTATGGATGAAAAGGGAAAGATGAACTCAGGTTTTGCCATCTGAAGGGGCTTAGTGATTAAAGTTCTCTTCTTCCTCTAAGCTGTGGTTAAAGTGAAATGTGTACACATGTTGGTGAGTGAAAAAGCAAATTTTACCTACATTAATAAGATAGGGAAATGCCATTTCAGTGTGCACACTTTCTCTGAAAGCTGACTCACAGTTCCTGAAACAATATCCCAATCTGCAGGGGAGAAGGTCTCTCTCTGTTTCCATGAAGTCAAACAAAAGCAGATGGAAATGTGTGCCCAAGGGAAGCAGGCTGCACATGAGACTCATAAGGACATTCTCAGCCACTCGAGATAGACCACACAGCTTTGGCATACCCACTCTATTCTGCCTCCACTCCAACTTCCCCCAATGCCCCTACTGACCCCAATTCTTCTTCCCAGTAGGGATACTGTCATTCAGCCTTCATTTGGTTTGCCTTTCCCTTTGCTACCTGCCCAACCTGAGTACTTCCATCCTCTTTTCTGATCATAGACCTTTTCTGGACACTATTCTTCAGTCATAATGTACCTCTCATCAACACTAAATATCATCATCTTTGCCCTTGTCTTTGCACAGGCTATGTTTTCCTTCTAGAGTCCAATAACAACTACTTCTATATTTATGAGTTCCATCTCATTTTCCTAAAACCCCTTCCAAGTACTGTTTCTTCTCTTTCTTCCTTCTGCACAAGTCCAGCATCCCTCCCTGTGTGCCCGCCATGAGCTTTGATTGGCCCATTCAGCTGCATGTGCTATAATGCTGTGTTTGTTTGCTTCTGTACAGTACCAGTTTTTGAGCCTGATGAAGGCAAAAAAAATCTTTTTGTGTTTATATTCCCAGAATCCAACACAGAGCTCAGTAATGCTGGAGGAATTGAATCAAATGGAATGTGTTCTCTGAGATGCATGAAGCATGACTTCATTAGGCAAATATACCAAATGTTTCCATCAAGCCTACATCATAAAGGAGAGAAATTCTACTTGCTTCTAACACATTAGGGCTATAACCCACCAAATTATTGCTGTGCATGAAAGCCTAAGTATAGGGCTTTAAATCCTACTCTGAGGATGTTGCCATATAATTCAAACAAATGCTGGTTTGTACCATCTGTTAATAACCTTTCTACATTCTTATTGCTACAAACAAAAGAAAAGACAGGTAATGCTATGCACAATGTTGCAGAAAGCAAATGTATATCTTACCTTCTGTCTGGAAGGATGGGGTATTCAGAGATGCACTCCTCTGTGCAGATTAAATTCACTGTCTTTTCAGCTGGAGTTATGAACCCTCTGGGGCAGGGAAATAGAGCGCTTGAGACCCAAGGCACTAATGAATTTTTCATGGAACAATCTTCCTTACTGTGAAGGGAAGTGGATGTATAGCCAACTCAGAGCTCTTATGAACTTCTCCAGAAAGGAGAATAATTGGGCAGCTGTTTGAAAATTTCCTCTTAGCTGTGGATCTTAGTAAAATTTAAATGTTCTGCCACAGACTGAACCAAGAAAACTGCAAAGAAGTTCAACTGGATGGCAAGAGAGCATTTCCCATCTCTGTCACTGGAACAAACCATTGTAACACATAGCACTACATGGTGTTAGAAAGGGAGTCAGCTTAAACGGCTCACACAAGCAATTTTGCAGACCAAGCTGAGACTCAGAGAGGAGTCACGTGGCCAGAGGCTATCCCATCAAAACCTTCATGGTTTCATCTGGCTTATAGCACATGGAATGTTTCCATTTCAACTTTGGCTTAAAGAACATATAAGAATTATTAGCTGAATACATTGCCTAAATAGTTTTTATACATGGCTTG